TATTATATAGAAATAAATAAAACAATGGAGCAGGGCTTTAACATACATAGAGTGAAGGCCCAAGGCTGGACTAACTCTATACTTTCTTACCCCTTGGTTTGTTAGATAGCAGTTGTTAATCAGTTAACAAATTAACAGTTCGCTGGGTCATCCAGAGAGTTTAATAACACTCATATAAAAGTGCCAAAATTGATGCCCAGTTCCTGTGTCCCACGTGTGTCCAAACTAAGCCTAATAAATTAAATATTTGGTGCCAAATATCCTTGGTACAATGGTACCCAGCCTCCAATCAGTTTAGTGTTGCCTAGAATCCTGGCACAAATGCCATTGTTTAACAGCCTCTGCCCACAGCCCAGGGGTAGAGTAGTTCTTTATTATTCTGCCAACAAGTTGCACTGCCATCGAGTATGCAACGTCTCAGGTGAAGTCGGCTGGCACAGCTTTTTTTGCATGCATCCATCTGTCCTTATGGGCTGTATATAATATGCTTTTCATATTAAAAGTTATTTAACTTAAATGCAAGGGGTGTAATCATAGAGTTGCATATATCATAGATGTCTTGTTTTGGGAATTGTAAATGCACTTCAGGCTGGCTTAACATCATGTGAACTATAAATCTCAAACATATTGGGTAATACAGTTTCCTGGCACTGCTGTATCTAGTCTGTATCCCTTGATCCCAAAATCGGACAACACTGATAATAATCTTGCAAGAATAACTGTAATCATAATATCCTTCTAAAATAGCTTGCTCAGGAGTTATAGCCACTAAAGTTGGAATTGTCAAGAAAGTGACTGTATCTTACTAACTTGTCAGACTTAGGGTGAGAATTGTTGGGAATTCAAAGTGAGTTTAGAATTTAAGGTCAAAGTAGCCACACTGGAAGCAGACAGATAAAAATTCCAATTTGGCCAACTCTGCGCCTAAAGGGACACTAAGGCACCCAGACAACTTTAGCTAATTGAAGTGGTGTTGGTGCATATTCCCTGGCCCCTTAACCCAGCACAGGTACTAATTGCAGTCTTTAATAAATAATTACCTTTGCAGGTTAACTTCACCTCTAGGGGCTGTCTACTAGACAGCCACTAGAGGAACATCCGTGTTGTTAGGCAACTTTTGGTCACCTGACGCTGGACACCCTCACACTATGCATGAGGACATCCAGCGTCATTCAAAACCCCATAGGACAGCATTAAGCATGCGTTCCTGTGGGGGAAATACTAATGGCCATTGCTGCGCATGCACATTAGGTCTCCCCCGGCGACGTCAGCGGAGCCCAAAGAAGCACCGAAGGATATCAGCGCCTGACTGAGGTAAGTGACAGAAGGTTTTTTTAATGCCTTCTACACCTTGGGGAGGGGGGAACTATAGGGAGCTATATTGCCAGGAAAGTTACTTTGTTTTCCTGGCACTATAGTTTCTTGCTTCTCTTTAAACTTAAAATTCACTTTGACTTCACTTCAGATTCCCACAATTCTCACTTTAATGAATAAATCTGTAAGTTAGGAGTGCACAGAAGGTACCTCAGCAGCTGTTGCTGGTAATCTTTCTTTAGGACATCATTGCTCTAAGTAATATATATATATATACATATATATATATAAAAATAATAATAAATCTTATTAAATGCCATAATAACATGGCAAAAGAGGGACAGTCTCCACAGAAATACTGAATATGTAGATGATTAAGTTATTACATGCTACTCAGTATAGGAGGAAACGGCCAGACGGCACCATTACCAATGGAGGTTAAAAGGTAACTCCCATCACTAGAAGCCACTCAAGTAATTTGACTTCCTAAAGAAAAAAAATACTGTGCTACGTTCAGGTACTTCATTACAAACTCAGGCCAACTAGATGGAATTCCGTCTGCTACCGAAAGACATTGCCCTGGGCAACAAACCAGTTTGACAATCCTTAATGACATTTCTGAGCTAATCACCCAATTAATCATTAAACCAATCAATCAATCATTGACAGATAAGCTTAGAAATAGTGATAAATTAATCTTGCACACCCAAGGCCAGATTTGATTTTCCTGCAGTTTGCCAATATTGTATGATGATACTGATCACTAGAGGATATTGACAACTTTATAGGAAATGTACAACAAAATCTTCACTTGTTTGAATCACTTCGATTTGTTTTGCCTCGTTTCTTTTCCTGTCTTTTACAGCCATCTGCACTGGTGGAAATCATTTATGAAAACTAGAAATTAGATCATTATTTAATGTAACTATTGGGGTACTCTGCAAATTAGGCAGTTTTTCCAACTTGAATTTTGTGGTCTTGAATTTGCAATTACCCTTGCCAAATCACCACAATTTATCGTATGGTAAAAAATAAATTAAAATAATAATTTCTTCACTAATCATCAACTTTAACCCCTTAAGGACACATGACATGTGTGACATGTCATGATTCCCTTTTATTACAGAATTTTGGTCCTTAAGGGGTTAAAGGACACTATCGGCACCCAGGCCACTTCATCTCATGGAAGTAGTCTGGGTTTATTATACCTGCCCCCTTAAAGGGAGACTATAGGAACCCAGACCTCTTCAGCTCATTGAAGTGGTCTGTGTGCAATGTCCCAGTTCCTGTAACCCTACAATGGTAATTGTTGCAGTTTTTGAGAATTTTAATTCCACCGCTAGTGACTGTCTACCAAATGCTATAGTGTCTTTTTAACCCTGCAATGTAACATATTGCAACTTTAGAGACAATAGAATCTGGTATGTTTTTAAACAGGATATTTAACCCTTTACATGGCCAGGAGGAAGGGGACCGGTGGGTCAGGGGGGCCACAGGGGAAGGGTGACACTAAAGTGTTAAGAATACAGCTTTCCTTAAAAGCACATTGAAAAATACCAAGCTGAAGCCATAGATCAGTTGGAAAAATGTTCTTGGCTAACATTTGCTGTTTTATTTTCAGTTCACTAAAATAGGTGTTTAGTGAATAAACCCTGGTGTGTTTTTAAGGACAGGTATATTATGCTGGTTTCATTAGAAGTACACCTGTCCATTAACTATATATTGTGTTTAGATTATTTTCAAAATCACGATTCTAAATGTGGTATTTTAATTGTATTTGTTTTGTTTTACTAGGCCCCTGGAAGCAGGAGAGTAGTTCTAAGGTAAGGCTGTAATTTCCTAGCAATTTATTTTAATTAAAAACATACTGGTTTCTAAAAACATATGGTGTACTAACAAAGGATCTACTTCTATTTAATTCTGCTAATACGACTTTTCATAATGATTTTTTTGATGCGATTCTTGGAGCTGTGACATTGGTGTACGTTCTTTAAGCATTGAATTGTGGTGAATAATACACCAAAGTGCAAAAATTAGGCCAAGATGACTTGGGGGAAAAAAAATGTTTAACATAATTCTACTCATATAATGACCGTTTGAGCTGTGTGCTGCAGCTTGTTTTTAATCTCACCACTATTCATTGTTTAGCAAATAAACCCATTTCATCTTTAATATTCAATGTATTTTGCTCTATAATGGAACTTATTTACTCTAAGGGATACTCCAGACACCATAACTACTTAAATGGAATGAAGTTGTTATGGTTTGAAGAGGTCCCTGAGTGCCAGGTTTCCTCAATGAGTTAAAGGGAGACTCCAGGCACCCAGACCACTTCTGCCCATTGGCGTGGTCTGGGTGCCAACTCCCACTACCCTTAACCCTGCAACTGTAAATATTGCAATTTTCATAAACTGCAATACTTACATTGCAGGGTTAAGTCCTCCTCTAGTGGCTGTCTACTATGTGAGGACCTCCAGCGTCACCGAAATCCCCATAGGAAAGCATTAGATAATGCTTTCCTGTGCGCGGCCATTGCGCCCACGCGCATTAGGTCTCCCCAGCTGGCTGACGTCGGCGGGGGAGGAGCATTAGCGGAGCCTGACCCAGCACCGAGGGACATCAGCGCTGGACTCCGTTAAGTCACTGAGGGGGTTTTAACCCCTTCAGCAACTTGGGATGGGGGGTGCGAGGTAGAGGGGACCTCAAGGGTCCTGCAGTGCCAGGAAAACAAATATGTTTTCCTGGCACTGGAGAATCCCTTTAAACTTTTAATGAATGGTTTAACTGTGAATCTAGCGTGTGGTCACTCTGCCCATGAACATTGGCAGTCCAAGGCTTGAATCAGGAAGCCACTGACAGGGGCGCTACTGATAGGCTGAGAGTGTTTGTTAGCGATTCAGCCCCTTGAGGTAAGCTGGCATCTGGGGTTCCTTTTCACACCATAACTACTTAATTGTCATCATGTAGTCATCATGATCCAAGATCCAGTTCTGCATGTACACCTGAGAGGACCTATTGGAGACCTATTGGACACACATCACTTGTGTGGTCAGTGTGAGAAGAATCCTGCTCCGGAATATCGCAATTCATGTAACAAAGGAGGAAAATAAATGTATTAATGGTACTGGATTGATCAATTGGTTTGATCCTCTCCTGTAATGTCCTGGTGTTACCTACACTGGGGTAATGGCTTCTGTGCTCTCCTGATCAACATGAAAATTATCTACATGTATCTAGAAAAACATGGCACTCATGATAACCCTTTAAGCACTCAAGATAAATCACAATGTATGGCATGTTTCAAATTACTTCAAATAATTTGAATTATCATTGTTACGAACGTAGTAACATAGTTGTCTTGGGTTTATGGTGATAAAAATGCTGACTTTATAAATACATAAAATGCTAAGGTCTTGGCAGCATTTGGTGAAATAAAAGCTGTGGTCCAGCATATCCTCTTGACTGATTACAGTCCTGATGTATTGTTTGTAATAAACACCATTAATAAAATCAGTATTATAATTGTCTTAGTTACACCTCTTGGAGTTCAGCTTGAGAGAGAAGTCTTCAATCAACTGCAGATAAATTGATTAACTGATGAGTTTAGTTGTTTAAGTAAAAAGCTGAAAAATCTTTTTTTTTTTAATTTAATTTTTTTTTTTTACAAGAAATCATTCTCTGTATTCTGTATCAATAAAATCAATCAGCTAATAAATCAATCACTGGCATCTATCTACCTTCAATAATGTATCCAAATATATCCAAATCAAATTCTTCTCTTGCTAATAATTCCTGACACATTGCCCAGAATAATGTAACAATGTACGATCAATGCATCAACCTTCAACTTGCCATATTTCTCAGAAAAAAATATGTAATAGCAAAAAGTACTTTCTCCAAATTAAGCAGGTAAAATTTTTTTTCATTATTACTGATAAAATACACATCTTAAGACAATACACATCTTGCATTAAAGAATAGTCTAAACATCATACTAAAACTACAGCTCGGTGTAGTGGTTATAGTTCCAATAGTGTCTGGGTAGTGTACACTTTACACTGCAATATTATCAGAATCATATCCGTACAATATGGATTACAATAATAGACTGAGAGCTATGGTTTAGTTCCCAAACCGTTTAACAAAAAAAAAATAATAATAATATGATGGAACGGCACCCACAGACTTTTTTTGTATTATAACCGATTATAAACCAGTTCATTAGCTTACTTAAGTTTTAATCTGCATGCAAATTGTCCAGGTGCTGGGAGTAGTCCCTAAAGATAGACATACTTGACAATAAGATAAATCTCAATATATTCTTCCACCTAAAGGTTCGGTTCTCATCCTCCTGAGATCTCCAAAGGCTAAAGAAAATGTATACATAACATAAAACATGTTTATATCTTTTATAAGCATGATAATACAAAGGAAAAAATATATATAATTGCATATTTTATTGATAAAACTCTCAATATCATGAAAAGACATGATGAATCATACCAATTAGCAGAAAATAAATAATCAATATCCAATTTTATTGTACATTTTAAACTGTATTCTCTGAACTATCAGATTAGCATATTGGGTTTATGAATTCTCTAAAAACAAAACAAAAAACAAGTCATGTTATGTCGCAAATTCTTTTTATTTTCCTGCACTATAATAATAATAATAGTAATTATAATAATTATACGTGATTTATTTCTGATGGACGCAGTTTACCAGCTGAGCCTACACGAGATATAGCAGTTACTCAGATAAACAAACTTACAAGCCAGAGATTTACTCTGCAAACAGTGTGAACCTTGACTAAATTTGAGGGACATTTAACAAACCCAGTTAATTCCAGTGCTTGGATTACACATTGATAATTGCCTTTCGGTACGTCAGGTTTAGTGATTTGGTTCTGACTCGAGCTTCCAGATGTTCCTAGTAAGTCCTTCCTGCCTTGATTAAACAGAAAGAATCCCTTGATAATTTTTTTTCCATTAATTGTCTACACCTTCAATGTATCCAGTGTAGGCAGATAGGCAGGGAGCATGGCTGGGCCATTCACGCTTGTTAGACATCCCAGGGGGGTAGATTCTCTGCAAGAATACAGTATTTACCTTTTAATTGATGTGCTGATGTTTCATTTAGCGCTTGTATGGGCTTCATGCTGGGCATATAATTACTGTAATCTCAAGAACAAGTATTTTAGAAGCATGCAGGGAGCAACACTCTTCCCCCAATCGCCTTATGAAAAAAAAAAGTTTGAAGGTTCTATCAAGTTTTCAGCTCTGAAACCTATTGGGAAGTTGGGAAACGTTTACCTCCCCCCAATAGCTCATTGTTTGACACAGAGGAGGGTCCGAGCTGTAAAGAAAAGAAATGTCAAATTAAACAGGGTGAGCTATTGTACATGTTTCGCATTGTCTGCTTTGTAACAGTTAGCATGCAAACCCCCCCTTATTTACACAGACATAATTGGAAGGAAAACAGTCATTAGGGCTGTTAATTATGTGTTACAACTAATCATTTTATAAGTGAAATATAATCATGGCCATTTGCATTCTTTAATTGCTATGATGTGTCTTCCTTTGTCTTAGGGATAGGACATCAGATGTGGAAGGTGCTCCTCGTGTCAACTATCAAAATAAACTCATCACGTTAACGCACTGCATAGTGTCAATTCTGTGTTATATCAATGGAAGGAGAAGGTATTTACTCCCAATCATTTTTCTAGAGGGGAAAAATTGGAGTAACTTAGGAAAGGTGAAAACAAAGGGGGGCTCTGCAAATGTTTGTGAACTGCATTTCCCATGATGCTCAACGGTCTAAATTGTAAATTCATCAATCAGACTTCTGCATTGCCAACGTTAAGCCATCACTAGCCTGGCCAGGTAAATATGGGAGTCCAGCATGGCCCCCCGCAAGCAACATGGTCGCAGGCCTTGACCTGTGTTTTAACCATGAATATGTATTTAGGGAGTACCAAGGGCCGTATGGTGTCTTAATCTCTTTCACTAATAAAATAAATCTCTGGTTCTCTCATCACTCTAAGCCTAAATGTTTGCGTGTCCACACAGAAAGTACAATCGCAGGATAAATGTGCGTTTTACAAAATTTCCATTTAGACATGTCTACAACTCTTTATATGTCGTGGTTGGAAGGGCCATCGTTCAATGCAATAATACAGAGCAGAGTAACTCTATCAGCTCAGTTTAAGTGAGTTCAAATATGGATATTTTAATTTAAACTATACTGACTGCATTGGATTGCACTGTTTCATTAAATTTTATTAGTACTTTTCCTATTCTTTGCTAACAGTCACCTACTGGAATAATTAGTGTATATTTTTAACTTTCCATATGGGTCTCCATTAAAGGACCACTATAGTGCCAGGAAAACATACTCGTTTTCCTGGCACTATAGTGCCCTGAGGGTGCCCCCACCCTCAGGGTCCACCTCCCGCCCGGCTCTGGAAAGGGGTAAAAACTTACCTTTTTCCTGCGCTGGGCAGGGAGCTCTCCTCCTCCGATCCTCCTCTTCTCCTCCCCATCGGCTGAATGCGCACGCGCGGCAAGAGCTGCGCGCGCATTCAGCCGGTCGCATAGGAAAGCATTCATAATGCTTTCCTATGGACGCTGGCGTCTTCTCACTGTGAAAATCGCAGTGAGAAGCATGCAAGCGCCTCTAGCGGCTGTCAATGAGACAGCCGCTAGAGGAAATAGGGGAAGGCTTAACCCATTCACAAACATAGCAGTTTCTCTGAAACTGCTATGTTTATGAAAAAATGGGTTAACCCCAGCTGGACCTGGCACCCAGACCACTTCTTTAAGCTGAAGTGGTCTGGGTGCCTAGAGTGGTCCTTTAAGTTCTATTTTGTTCCCCAATATACTATATCTTTCAATAGTTTTTGCTACAGATATAGTAAAAGTTACTTTTTTTTCTGTCTGTGCCCTGTTTTTCATATTTTTGTTAACCAAGAAAATTTATTCTATGCACAAAATTGTTGCTTTGTCCTTATTTTGTTAAAGCAATACAATCCCACTTGCATATTCACGTTATTTTCCATTACTCAGCATTGGAGATATTTATAAACCGTAAATAAACTGATTTCGGTGTCGTGGGAGGCTGATCCTTTTTTTGATTTTGATATGCAAATCAGCCTGATGAATCCCTCGGTCTCCAAACAAATGTCTGGGAAATACATCTTGCACAGAGCAATGCACTTAACGCAGAGCTGCCGTAAATATTTTCCATTGTCAATAAAAAAAGACTTCTGTCTATTAAAAAAATAAAATGACATCAAGATATAAATCAGATGCTGCAGCACCTCTTTGAGTAATTTCATCTCTGCTAACTAACTGTTATTGACAGCTCTTTGCAACATCACAGCACAAGAGAAATATACTCTGATACTTTAAGGTGCCATCAATCATGGGATAATGTAGAGGGATTTGTATAACGGCTGGTCGTTGAGGGGTTAAATCTGTAAGCTTAAGCATTCTGTGGAGACAGGTCTTTGCAATGAATGCACAAGCTATTAGTTTGGAATTATCTACCAGGAAGTAAGAGCACAGAAGGAGTGCAATGGCGCCCCTCCCACCCAATTTGGCCATCACAATAAAAAGACTCCTATTAATGAGCTGTAAAGTCCATACAACCTGTAACAAATACACCCAAGGAAAGGAGACACAGTGTAGACAGTAATGAAGGGCTGGTCTCTGTCTTGTCTCTACCTGCATGTTACACAACTAGTGAAAGCTGCCTAGCGTTGTATAAGACATAAACAACTGACCTTTCAGAGTGACCCATATATCCAATACAGGTGTCTGTTTAAAAAGGAACTGTATTGTGCAGGACAGGAGTTACATTTAATAAAGCTGGTAATATATGTTTTCTAAAAAATAAAATCCTGTCTAGAAGAGTCACTCGGTTATTCTGTTTTATGACATTCGTGTATACGGCTGATTGGAGAAATCATTCGTTAAAAAGTGGCGAAAGTCTAACGTTCATCTAGTATAAATTTGGGAGGATGGGATGTGCTACAAAGAAAACTGAAATAGTTTTTATCATGCCTTTAAAAGTATAACTAGGAGGCTACTGGAAGCATGTTGAGGAGAATACTGAACAATTCTCGAAGTCAGTAAGACTCTGAGTTTTTACTAATCTGGTTTTAAATGTGAAATTCCTTTTGAATTCTCATTTTAGTGAATATTCTGTTTGTGCAGAGCAGGCATTGACTGGGGCAGTGTAAGTAAAGGTGGGTGCAGGATAGAGGGGGCATCTAGGAATGAACACATGGGGAAATCCTTTAAGGGGCAGTAAAGGTATTTAAGTCAGGGAGTTTTCACAAAGCGCAGGCATTATAGACAGCGTTGTAACTGAGCATTTTCAGACATGGTCAGTCAGGAGGTTTAAGTTTAGTTCATGGTAGGACAGGTAGATTAGGTAGAGGCAGGTATAGAGCGTTTTTACTGGATGTTTTTTTTTATGCGGCACCAGCTGTGCGAAAATCCGATAATATGATTGGCTGATGCTACTTCAAGAGCATGCATCACTCAAAGCTTGTGTAGGGTGGCATTTTTTGCTCAGCTTACCGGGACAAGCATCCCACCCAATTATCTGTCATAGGCCTTAAAGGACCACTCTAGGCACCCAGACCACTTCAGCTTAATGAAGTGGTCTGGGTGCCAAGTCCAGCTAGGGTTAACCCATTTTTTTTAATAAACATAGCAGTTTCAGAGAAACTGCTATGTTTATTAATGGGTTAAGCCTTCCCCCAAAGCCTCTAGTGGCTGTCTCATTGACTTCCCCCAAAGCCTCTAGTGGCTGTCTCATTTTCACAGTGAGAGCACGCCAGCGTCCATAGGAAAGCATTATGAATGCTTTCCTATGCGACCGGCTGAATGCGCGCGCGCATTCAGCCGACGGGGAGGAGAAGAGGAGGATCGGAGGAGGAGAGCTCCCCACCCAGTGCTGGAAAAAGGTGAGTTTTAACCCCTTTCCCCTTTCCAGAGCTGGGCGGGAGGGGATCCCTGAGGGTGGGGGCACCCTCAGGGCACTATAGTGCCAGGAAAACGAGTATGTTTTCCTGGCACTATAGTGGTCCTTTAAGTCAAGGAGTAAGGTCACCTCCAATTTTGGGATTGGACGGAGACACAATGATAGCACTTTTGCAATATAAGAGACACAATGATAATAATCTGGCTCTCAGGATTAAATTAGTTTCAGCTCGGTTTTAAAGTTACTGTAAGGTTTATTCATTCAATTCTGGCCATGGTTTAATCAGTGAATGATTACGTGCAATGCCTTTCAAACCGTTTAAATAAAAGCTACGGCCATGATATACATTTACAGTGTCTTTGTGTTTTATTGCGTGTGTCTTTACTAATTTTATGTTGTATATTGTCCGTGCAGTGGATATAGGTAGCACAGTGGATATAGGTAGATCAGAAAAGACCCAAATAGATTGTTATTTATAGCATATATACTAACTATGTAGTGTCATTAACCACAATACTCATATATATTAAGCATCTCTCAAATCTGAAGAAAATCAGGGTAACTGAAGGTACACAATGCAACTAGTGGGTAGGTTAGTACAAAAAGATAAAAGTACTGGAGGGTTAAAGAGGTAAGTGGTAAACTCTGAGAAGGGTCTAGGCCTATAGGCATAGGTGTAGGCCTTTTTAATTAATAATAAATTATTGTAGAAACAATGCGATAATTTTTTAAAATATCTTAATATAATCTATAGGTTATTATAAACCATTTAATTTACTTTCTTTTTATTCGTATATATAGATTTTTTTTTAAAAGAAATCCTTTGCTTATATTCCCCACTCTCCCTTTCTGTCAGCCATCTTTACGGACATTCAGTCAGACAATCAGTTATTCCGGTCATAGCTCGCTATTTTGCAATAGTCGGTAGCTTTTGAACTTGCCTTACAGAAAATGCTTCAGGCAAAAAAGTGTTGAAAAAGCAGAAGCTTGCAAAATAGTGAGCATTAGCTCCGAGAACTGGCAATGTGAGCGAAGGTGCATAAAGATGGCACCATGTCAGAAACAGGAGTGAGCAAGGGAGGCAAGTGATTTCATTAATAAATGGTGTATTACAATGTGAAGAACATTAACTTAATAGAATATTTTGATGATGTGCTCCTCTAATGGTCCACGGGGAATAGCTTATATAGTTGGTGTGTATACTATCACTTGCTGTTGGAACCTCCATAGAAAGGAAGTGGCAATCTAGGGAATGGAATGATAAACATCATCATGTGTAGAGTAAAGGAAAACCGGAAGAGGAAGCTCTTCCTTTAAATGAACACTCCAAGCATCAACATTACATAGCTGTCAGCAAGCCGATCCCTTAGCCGTCCGCTGATCAATGACTGGCGGATCGACGTTTCTCCACTCCTTGCTCACTCTTTTGGGCTATCTGATGCTGGCGGCTGAGCATGCGCCCATTTTAATGACGTGATGCATGCGTGCCGGTGTCATGACATCACCGACACCAATTTCTCTAGTTTTCACTGACCCCTCATGCTTTGGGGGCGTGGTTACCGCAATAACACCCCAGCCAATAAAAGTGTGGTTTGCCAGGTGTACAGTGCCCTGTTGTGGTTCCTTTGTGTCCCCATAGTGCGTTTATATTATTTTCCTGTCTATTCTGATATTTGATTCGGTTTTACCCTGACTATTCTGTATTCCGGCTCCCTTGAACGGACTTTGTCTTTCATACATTTGATTTCTGGCTTTCTTTGACCATGACTTGATTTGACCTTCCTATCTGGTATTATAATATGGCCGTTCAATATGGCCACTCTAAGGACCGGTAGATGTGCCGACTTTTCTCTGTCCCTGTCTGATGGATTCATACACTGCGTGTTGGTTTATATGTAACCGTGACATTAACACTGTGGTGGTTATGGTGCCAAAGTACCCCATTGTAAGTAGACCAACCATTTTGGAATGTTTTACTTCTTAACTGGGGTCTACTGGGCACTGCTCCTCACCACTAGGAGTCCCGAGAGCTCCTTCTTCAGCTTCAGTTAGCTCTTCTGAGTTAAGCAATGCAGGGCAAAGCCAGCCCATTGGCCGAGAGCATCAGCTGATCACTCTCATCCAGTGTTCTAAGCCTTGTACTGCTGGACTTAGCTCTGGCTGAGTGTTTCTGGTGTACCCCAGGTAAAAGTCAAACCATTCTAAAAATGTTTGACTACTTACAGTGGGGGGCTATGGTAGTCCTGGCATTAAAACCACACTGTAGTGGTTATAGTGCTTGGAGTGATATTATAAATTGTGTAGATTATGGGAATACCAGAAGAGAAATTCATAGACCCAGAAAGCTGCCCCAATTTCAATGCTTACAGATACCATTATTTTCATTTTCCATTTAATAAATGTTGTGTTTTTCTATTTATAGGAAACAAAACATGGGAATTGCACCACATTGCATTAATTTTTGTCCCCCTCCTTGCTTCCCTTTCCCTTAGTGATAAGAATTTCTGTCGATATTTTTTTTTTTTTTCTTCCCTGAAATATTTGTCCTCAGAGTCCATGGATAAAGCTGTGAAAAGTGCGGTGGAGAATTCATTGAGACTTTATTTTCCTGTAGTTGGCAGGATGCTGTGTCGCATACGTCACTTTCCCAAAGAGTCATTGGGTGTCAGATGAAGTAATGTCCTTTCCCCTCACGCTGAAGAGAGCCATGGAAAATGATCACAAATCCTCTAGTGATGAATTATGCCTTTCCTTCTTTTTCCTGCAGCTGGTATAGTAGGAATAATCGTTAACTCTGCAGTGCCCGAGTGCGGTGTGCTCACTTGTTTGATTTCCATCGTATAATGATATTTACAATAATAACAATGTTGTTCTTAGTTATTAATACTATTATTTTAAAAATCTTTTCTCCAAGTAGATATATTTATGTAGTCAAAGGAATACTTTCTATTTTAATTTTTTAGGAACAGACAAACTGTAGCAATTCTTATTTTATGAGTTTATTTCATAGGTGGAAAAATTACCGATATAAAATTCTATGAAGAAAAACCATTGCATGTTTCCGGTTGCGTCTTCGTGAATGAATCTCTGAGCTCCTTTGGGCTCTTTTATCCCACTGATGTAGCATTTTTGAGCAAAGCTCTAAAAGTGGAGAAGTCGCCCTAGAGAGCAGAGCAAAATTACTGCCGATTGATTCACATTACATACCTTGCTCTAAAATTATTTTAACCAGACACAGCTTGGAAGGGTTAATTCACAAGCAAATCTGCTCCGTCACACAGATCATTTCAAATCTCATCATGAAACTTTTAGTTGCCTTCTATGATTAAATAAAGCTACAGATTCTGACCAGGGCTGGAAACCTTATGCGATCAACTAAGGCACTCCTGAGTTAACTTGCTAGTAAGTAGAGCCAGAACAAATCCCAACAGAGATTTCTCAAAATATTAGTACCAGCCTATGCTAGAAGTAGTCGTATAAGAAAAAAAATAATATATTTCTTTCTGTTTCTTATGTGTGGCTAAATGTACACAAGGTGCTTGATATGGGCTTTGTTCAGTCTTTTTTTGGACTTTAAGATTGGGGGGATAAAATCAAAATATTTGGGACTGAGAATAACTAGTGCCCAAACTCAATAAATCTTGGGGATCAGTTAACTTGCTTCCAAGAGAAATTTGGGAATTTGGAGACCAAGGCAACAATTTTTACAATGTGCATTATCCTGGTGAAAGAAGCCACTGCCATCTGAGAACATCATTGCCATGATCTGTGGTCTGCAACAGTCTCTATGTAGATGGTACATGTCAAAGTCAGGTCCACATGAATGCCAGGACCCAGGATTTCTCAGCAGAGCATTGCCAATAACACTGCCTCCCCTGGCCTGTCTTTTTACATCCTCTAGTACATCCTGATGCCATCTTGTCCCCAGGTAAACAATACATACGCACCTGGACATCCACCTGATCTAAAAGTAAATTTGATTCATCAGACCAGGCAACTTTATTCCATTGCTCGACAGTCCAGTTCTGATGCTCAGGTCCCTACCGATGGCACTTTCCACAGTGGACAGAGGTCATTATGGGCACTCTGACTGGTCTTCAGCTACGCAGCCCCATATGTAGCAAACTGTGATACACTGTGTGTTCTGATACCTTCCTATCATGGCCGCCGTTACCTTTTTCAGCAATTCGAGCTACAGTAGCTCAAAAGTAGCTAAAGTAGCTTTTGTGTGATCAGCCTAGACAGGCTTGCCTTCACTCCCCACGTGCATCAATGAGCCTTGCCCACCCGGTTCACCGGTTGTCCTTTCTTGCACCACTTTTTGTTGGTACTAACTGCATATCGGGAACACCCCTCGAGGCTTCCCGCTTTGAAATGCTCTCATCCAGTCATTGAGCCGCCACTATTTGGCCCATGTCAAAGTCACTCAGATCTTCCCAATTTTTTCTCCTTGCAACATAAAATTAAAGAACTGACTGTTCACTTGCTGCCTTACAATACAATCAATGTTATGCGCTTCACCTGTCAGTGGTTTTAATGTGCTAGCAACAACTGTTGGAAGTGACAAAAGTTGATGCTGGGAGCTCTGCTATTTCACAAGTTTTGGTAGCCTGGACTTTGCCTGTAATAAAAAGTAGCCCATGCTTTGTTTTATTATTATTGTAATTAATTATAAAGTGCCAACACATTTCGCAGAGCTGCACATACTAACATACAAGTAGTTCCAGCAAGACAAGGTGGACGTACAGAAACCAAAGTTTCTGAGTGCCTTGCTCAAAAGAGCTTACATTCTAAGGGGAGTGTGGTAAAAAGACAGATATTTAGTGTATGGAAAAGTACATTTCCAGAAGAATTTACAATGAAGACTTAGTTTTTTATTACACAGTTGCAGCAGAGAAAGAAAGGTGGGTTAGAGAGGTGTGAGGAGGGAATAATGTTAACAGTTTAATTGAGATGCTTTCTGGAAGACGTGAGCTTTCAGCGATTCTTTGAAGGAATGGAGACTGGGTAAGAGTCTAATGGAGAAGGGAATGTATTGTGTTCCATAGGAACTTTTGATGGCATTGGAATTTAAATGGAATCCCAATGCAGTCAACATGAGCATTTTATGAAATGCTGAAAAAGTGACAGATCGTTGGTAAGACAAACTAATGGATAATAAAAGTTCTTTACACAATGTATAAATGCAATAGGGTCTTCAAAGTAAACCACCATGTTTTTTTGTTTTGTCTGGAATTTGGGTTAGTTTATAACTTAATGAAATGTTGAGTATGCTCTCTGAGAATGGTGGCCGCCACTCTGTGGATGGGAGGCAAAACCCAATGAACCAAAGTTACTTCATCAGGTTAATGTTTTGCAGCAGCATTGAGTTAATAATTATCTGTAGCTCTTTAAATAATATAGAATTTGCTGGGTAAGGAAATAGTGATTATGACCAGCAAAACCCATTCCATTTATGGTGAAATCAGTTTTCTGACTTTGTATACAAAAATATTTAGATTAATAATATTTAATCAATTGTCAAAAAAAAATAATCAATGTACTGAATGTGTACTGTAATGAAAACATGTACTGGATGTGTGCTCTGCATATTTGCTGTTATTTTGAAACCTTTTCTAAACATATTTTTCACTTGTAGCAAAATAATAATTTATTTTTTTTCTTGAAAAAGTATACCAAGAACCAATTAGTGTGCCTTTACCACGCTGTGCCCTTAAGTCCAAATTCCAATTGGCTTCATATTTTAACAGACATGAACCTCTATTTCCTTTTCTGTACGGTTCATTTGCTTCTTTCATTTCATAGAACGTTAAAGCTCATTGATCCATGCCCAACTTCCATAGGGTTCCATTCATTAAGTTGACAACACTATGCTGTCTATATTTCTAAAAGCTGAGTTAAGGTCACGGATAGGGTTTTAGAGACTAAATGAAATGACGGTGTACATCAACTGATCGATACAAGGATTATTTTTTCCGCTGTAGAAGTTTGTAATGTTGCAATGAATACATTGACCACATGATGTTTCTGTGGCTGTTAAGTCTTTTTCTGTTCCTTTAAATGTTTTTTTTATAATAATTTTGTTCCTTAGTTTAGATATCATCTTGACTTTTCTTGTAGTTATTCTGATTTATTAACTTTTTCAACTCTCTTTCACAGTTACTAATATTAAGAGCTACCAGGCTTTTTTTCTGGCTTAAATATTAAGCTATGATCCTGTTTTAGTTGATACTTGGTTAGTATTGCTAAAAACAGGACAATATTTAGGTGATTTATAATGCTTTTTGTCTCCTTACTACTGTGCACATTCGGAAGGATCTATGTTGAGATCTGCAAGTGATTGTATCATAGTTGGAAGAAAAGAAAAACCCTTATTTAAAGGAACACTATAAGATCAGGAACACAAACGTGTATTCCTGACCCAATTTTGTTAAAAACACTATCTAGCCCCCTATCCAACTAAATCTAGTAAAATCTTACCTTTATTCCAGTCTGCTGGTGCTGGCTTTGCCCCTAATCTGCCTCCTTGGCTGACATCATCAGAAGTGGTGATCTCAGCGAATCGCAATACTTTTCATATTAAAGCATTGGATTGGTTGAGATTGTCAATGACGCAGATCAGGGGCAGAGCCAACACAAGATAAGCATAGCCCTGGCTAATCAGCATCTCCTCGATTAAATGCATTGAATCAATGCATCTAAATGAGGAAAGTTCAGTGTCTCCATGCAGAGAAAAGGTTTATGGTTAAAAGTTAAATAACCATCTCAGTTGAAGCATCTTTTAGTGATCAAAAACTGTGATAATTTCAGTAATATGTAACATTACATCCTTGGGGCACTTGTTCAGTATAGCATCCTCTTTTGTTACAAAGTCAGCATGTTCTCAAGTGGATTTGTAAATATATTCTTAAATCTCACAATCTGATTTTTTTTCCCCAAAAGGCTAATGCTGCCAACTATTTATGTATTGGATTGACTTCTTTTTGCAGATTTTTGTATTATCCCATGGGTTTCAGTGTTTACGTCGGTACATCATGTGTATTGTTGCACTGTGTATGTAATCATAATCATTGTGTGAATTTAAAACCTTTGACATTTGCACTTTAAAAGGAAAATAATTGCTACAAAAAATTCGGCTCCAGTAATAAATACAATGCATGGAAACATCTACTAAGTATCTTCATTAGCTTGTCCTTTACAAAACTCAGAAGAGATCGCTAGCAAAGGTAAATCTTTTAACTCAATACAGGATTCTTAGTGAAGAAAATGGTTCATAATTTTTTGTTACATATAAATGTGGAGAGTGGGTTGGTCTGTTTGGTTTTATCCTTTTTTTTTTTTTTTAATGATTTTTCACTAAATATAATGCTTTTCTTTTTTTCATGTGAGTTTTATTCCTAATGTTTTTTTTAAAATTAAATTCTAAGCAATAATACTTTATATATTGTATTCTCTTAAGTCCCTATGAAATTGGCTTCATGATTGTTAAATATTTCATGCCAGTTTCAGATATCCATTAAATGTTCTGTTTTCATTACATGCACATTTTCAATTTTTATATTTTATTGGTTTTAATATCTGCGCTCAATAAGCAAATATTACACACAGTTAGAGAAATACATCATGGAATCCTTATTAGTATAAAACAATGCTACTTAGCAATCTGTGCTCTATTTAAAAGCAAACAGCTTGACTGTTTTATTGTCTGAACATGGTCTTCGAGAACTTGTCTCCTCTCCTTCTTGAAAGGCCAAACCATGACAGTTGCTGGAGAGGGCTTTGCGGGTTAAAGCCCCTAATGTGGGACTCTTAAGCCATGAATCTATACAGGTAGTGGAGGAGGCAGAAGATTATTAGTCTTTTTATATTTTTTATTTTACTCGAAGCAGCTGCAGTAGTATAGTGCTCTGCAAGGCAACTAAGGGAGAAAGTGTGGCGCAACCCAGGTAACTGTTGGGTTGGGGAACAGAACTTCACTGCACACCCCTTTATTACCTTGATAGCATAGCAGGATCACATTGAATTCCTGACTGTACAGTCTGTGCTTGTTTTCAGATATGCTGTTATTGAGATCCTGCAGACAATAAGCAGCTCAAAGTTCCTGGGTAGAGAGAAAGGGACATAACACAAAGAAGTGGGGATATGTCATGACATCCCCCCACCACTCTGTTAATATATCGAGGGATATTGAGTTTTGCTTTGGGCTCAAACCCGAGTTGTTTAATTAACATAACAACACTCCTGGTCCAAACGTACATACTAAATACATCTTTACTAAATTCCACATTAGCATAGAGCAGTGGTAGGCAACCTTTGGCACTCTAGATGTTGTGGACTGCATCACCCATAATGCTCTTACAACCATAATGCTTTCAAAGCATCAAGGGAGGTGTAGTCCCCAACATTTGTAGTCCTGAAGTTGCCTACCCCTGGCATAGTGTATGCATGGTCCAGATTTTCAGTAGAGTGTGGAAAATTCACCATCTAATAGTTTCATAGGATTCTAAATGATTTGACCATACATTGACCATCAAATCTCTTTAATTATTATTATTATTATTATTGACATTTATATAGCGCCAACAGATTCTGTAGCGCTTTACAATATTATGAGAGGGGGGATATAACTATAAACAAGACAATTACAAGAGAACTTACAGGAACAATCGGTTGAAGAGGACCCTGCTCAAACGAACTTATAATCTTAAATTAAAACAGTCAATTCTACTTCACTGCTAATTTCTATAAGCGTCTGTTAAATCTATTTTATGAACTGTTTTAAAAAAAAAAATTACATCAGTAAACGCAGTGTGAATATTTTACGTTGTTATGCTAGTTATCGTCACGTATGGCATAATTCTGGAACCATTGTTATTCTGCACAAGTTTTCTGCACCAGTTCACAGCCTAATATTGACCACGTTGATAAATGTTTGCATTGTAGGTCGAGGTGAAACTAGGGTAACTTAAAAAAAGACAATTAGAGGAAGGAACAAGAGTGAAGTTTCCTGGTGGCAGTGTCTCAAATGATATTAAGCGCAGACAGAAGTTAGAAACAAAGGATTTCATAGAAATTAAAAGTTAGAAGACTCTCCTTAGAGATTCGTCAACAGATGTTCTTAGAGTTAGAATTGAAATTCAGTATAAAGAGAACAGATGCAGAAAAGTTAATCTAGCCACTTACCTTGTTTATATAAGTATTATTTACACGGCCAATAGTAACATATATCCTCTCCAACTGTTGGATTCCATAAGAGAACGAATTAGCTCCATATGGAAAAGAATTTGAGATGGACAATTCAATTTCTCTTATTGCATATTTGTGAACTTGATAAGTTCAGATTGGATTCTAAGAGCTGTGGTTAATGACCCGTTTATCGTATCTCTGGAGTTACTGGTTTTCTGTGACAAGAACATCTAAAGACAAACAAAACAGCAACAATTTTAGAACTAGTAGAATGTAGCCATTTAACATGGAAGATTAACAGTACAAGGTGAGCAGGCCTAGGACTAAAAGATAATGCTCTGATGTGATCGCATAGCCAAATATTTGTGCATAAAAAGATGTTTGCGGAGATGTCAAGGTCCATTCATGACGATGCCTCCAAGGCTATGGAAAAAACTGTCCTCATTTATCAGTTTCTGAGAACTCCCTGAACATAAAGTATGTTTGTTTTGGAGAAACAGATAGATTCATGATTAACCACCGAGGGACGATTGCATAGAGCTATAACGAGAATAGCAAGAGTCTCGTTGTAAAAAGTCTGATATGTCATGCATTGTAATTGTGGAATCACTGTTATTGTGCATTATTCCAATATCATTTATGTGAGGTTAGACACCACTTGGAGTAGGGAAAAGTAATAATTATATCAAATGATTTATTAGAAGCGTTACTTTTGGAGTCTTTCTTTTTTGCTCTCATCTTAGACTTCCATGGTTTCATGCCCTGCGTGTATGATGTATGATTAATATATTATGATCACTGGGTATCTGCATGTCTGTAAGAAAAATAACCTTTTGTATCTCGTCTATGCCGTGGGAGAGATAGGGATTTCTTCACTCCAGTGTTTAAAGAAGGGGCTATTGCACACAGTCGAAAGTAGGGAACCGTGCTTCTAATGCACAAAGAAATGACCAATGGACATAATGTTCAGAGGACACAGTAAAGTCCCTATATGAATATAATGTAATTAAAACTCAATTTATTTATATATGTTTAAAAATGAACAGAAATTAAACCAAAAAACCCAAAACCCACAAAAAAGGAAACGTATAAACACAAAATAAAGTGAGCTGATAAGCGCGAAGGAAGAAATGGAGTAGAAGGGGTTTTAGAGAAATGGAGGTTGCTTGTAAAAGGAATAATAAGATAGAGACAATTATGAATCCTAATCGTATATAGGTTACAAGGTAGTTATGGTGAGTAAAAATATACTCACAGAGAGTTTGAACAATATAGTACCCCTATAGGATAGTACAACAATGAAACATATACAATGTAGCAATTAAACTCTATAACCAAAGGAATACAGAGGGAAAAACATTATGTAGCTAAGCCTTCATTGAAATTGCTAAACACTGAATCGACATCAAGGTCGCTGTGTGAAAAAATATAATATTGTAATGAATACAATATCTCGCTCTGCCGGTCCCAAGCCATGGTCCATTCCAGCACTACGCACGGTTACTTATCATGAGACAGACAGGCAATGTAAAACTGAACTTCTCATGCACACCCGACTCAAGGGTTAATTCATCAGCCAGATATACTGGCTGAAGTCTGCCCCTTGAATGGGCGGATGTCAAGGGGCTGTTCCTTTTTAAACATATATAAATAAATTGAGTTTTAATTACACATTCTTCATATAGGGACTTATTTAATTACATTATTTTCATATAGGGACTTTACTGTGTCCTCTGGATTTTATGTCCGTTGGTCATTTCTTTGTGCATAATGTATTCTATTACTAGGGTTACCCCTTATTAAGTTCCCATTACACACTCTAGAACCCTTAGGGGATCGCCCCCTTTTTTTTCCTTTTTTTTTTTCTCTGTTCAAATAATTTTTATTGTAAGTTTTGCAAAATTTACAAGTAATAAAAACATAATAAGGGGGGGGGGGAGAAGGGAAGAACTTGAAAGTGGGAATAAAAGGGGGGTTTCCATCCATTATAACAACAAGTATGGTGATGTACAAGGCACATAAATTGAATGACAGTTCATAACACGTTATTAAAGGTTATAGGGTTTTTTGACATCGGTTTCCTATTGATCCCAGTGATATTTTAATTGTGCAAATATGTGTGTGTTATTTCTATATGATAATTCATATGATTTGTTTTCTATTGTTAATGTTAGTACTTCTTTAATTGAGGGTGTGCATTTAGTTTTCCAGTATCTAGGCAGGCATGTAGTAGCAGCTATCAGAATGTGGCCTACTATTATTCTATTTTACTGACGGACTCAGGGAATTTTTAAAATAGAGCCAATTCAGATGTAAATCAAGGTTGGCGTTCACTTTAATAATTAAATCATGTATAATTTTCCAATATTTAGTTAGTCTTGGGCAATACCACTATATGTGGGCCATATTGCCCAATCCTCCGCAGTCTCTCCAACACCTATCGCTGTACATACAGGGAGTGCAGAATTATTAGGCAAGTTGTATTTTTGAGGATTAATTTTATTATTGAACAACAACCATGTTCTCAATGAACCCAAAAAACTCATTAATATCAAAGCTGAATATTTTTGGAAGTAGTTTTTAGTTTGTTTTTAGTTATAGCTATGTTAGGGGGATATCTGTGTGTGCAGGTGACTATTACTGTGCATAATTATTAGGCAACTTAACAAAAAACAAATATATACCCATTTCAATTATTTATTATTACCAGTGAAACCAATATAACATCTCAACATTCACAAATATACATTTCTGACATTCAAAAACAAAACAAAAACAAATCAGTGACCAATATAGCCACCTTTCTTTGCAAGGACACTCAAAAGCCTGCCATCCATGGATTCTGTCAGTGTTTTGATCTGTTCACCATCAACATTGCGTGCAGCAGCAACCACAGCCTCCCAGACACTGTTCAGAGAGGTGTACTGTTTTCCCTCCTTGTAAATCTCACATTTGATGATGGACCACAGGTTCTCAATGGGGTTCAGATCAGGTGAACAAGGAGGCCATGTCATTAGATTTTCTTCTTTTATACCCTTTCTTGCCAGCCACGCTGTGGAGTACTTGGACGCGTGTGATGGAGCATTGTCCTGCATGAAAATCATGTTTTCTTGAAGGATGCAGACTTCTTCCTGTACCACTGCTTGAAGAAGGTGTCTTCCAGGAACTGGCAGTAGGACTGGGAGTTGAGCTTGACTCCATCCTCAACCCGAAAAGGCCCCACAAGCTCATCTTTGATGATACCAGCCCAAACCAGTACTCCACCTCCACCTTGCTGGCGTCTGAGTCGGACTGGAGCTCTCTGCCCTTTACCAATCCAGCCACGGGCCCATCCATCTGGCCCATCAAGACTCACTCTCATTTCATCAGTCCATAAAACCTTAGAAAAATCAGTCTTGAGATATTTCTTGGCCCAGTCTTGACGTTTCAGCTTGTGTGTCTTGTTCAGTGGTGGTCGTCTTTCAGCCTTTCTTACCTTGGCCATGTCTCTGAGTATTGCACACCTTGTGCTTTTGGGCACTCCAGTGATGTTGCAGCTCTGAAATATGGCCAAACTGGTGGCAAGTGGCATCGTGGCAGCTGCACGCTTGACTTTTCTCAGTTCATGGGCAGTTATTTTGCGCCTTGGTTTTTCCACACGCTTCTTGCGACCCTGTTGACTATTTTGAATGAAACGCTTGATTGTTCGATGATCACGCTTCAGAAGCTTTGCAATTTTAAGAGTGCTGCATCCCTCTGCAAGATATCTCACTATTTTTGACTTTTCTGAGCCTGTCAAGTCCTTCTTTTGACCCATTTTGCCAAAGGAAAGGAAGTTGCCTAATAATTATGCACACCTGATATAGGGTGTTGATGTCATTAGACCACACCCCTTCTCATTACAGAGATGCACATCACCTAATATGCTTAATTGGTAGTAGGCTTTCGAGCCTATACAGCTTGGAGTAAGACAACATGCATAAAGAGGATGATGTGGTCAAAATACTAATTTGCCTAATAATTCTGCACTCCCTGTATTGTTCATATTGTGCAGTTTAGACAGAACTAGATACCATCGATACAGAATTTAAAAATGATTTTCATGATGGTTGGAGCAGAAAGATAGACCCTTCAACGCCGTAAAAAAAGTGAACCAGTCCTCCATTTTATATTGGGTACCCAGCTCCGTCTCCCAAGATAGCATATGTTTCAGTTTAGTTGTTGGTTTATCGTTGTGTAACATATAACAGATAGATATGATGCCCATCCTATCCGCATCATGCAAAAATAGCTTTTCTAATGGTGATAATACTAGTGCATTATAATTTTTATCGGTTTCTGATATATTGTATACTTCTTTTAGTTTCTCAATCACCAACTCACATTCATCCTTGCATTCGGTCGACAGTCTATGCTTGAATTGTAATCTGTCATACAACAGAATAGAATTACCTTGGAAAAAGATGTCTATGTGATACAGTCTGTGTCCTTTAAGTGATGGTAAGTCTAAAGTTGGGATATAATGTTTTAAAGATTCAATTGGCATGGCTCGGTACAGTTTCGTCAGGTGACAGTTGTTTTTAAATACTATATCCCAGGCTTTGAGTGTGGTCTTAGTAGTTAGAAACATTTTAGTTATTCCAGGTCTCTTCGCAGGGCTTAGCCAGGATAGTTCCCCAAGTTGGAAAGGGAGAATGATGGATTCCTCCATCTCTATCCACCTCGGCTTATTTTTTTGACTATTAAAGCTTACAGCCGCTGCAGCGTTAGTTGCAAAGTAGTATTTTCAGAAATTTGGGACTCCAATGCCCCCATGCAATTTATGATGCTGCAGGGATGCAAGCCTAATTCTGCTGGGTTTGTTGTTCCAAATAAATTTTAGCATTATTGAGTGTACTTTGTTAAAGAAGGACATTGGAACAGATAGAAGGATAGTTCTGAAATAGTACAAGATTTTTGGGAGGATTGACATTTTGATGGAGGCCCATTTTTCTTTGTGTTTAGTTTAACCGTGCGTCTAACACAAAACTGGATTGGATCAGTACCAGAGCAAATGAATAGCTCCACATGTATCAAAGTTTAAAAAGAAACATTAGAGTGTTTCTGCTGATTGCTCCATGTTTAAAACTAGCATATTGACAAACCACCCAATTATGTCAAAATAATCTATATCTATCTATCTATCTATCTTTCTATCCATTCACCAACCATCCTTCCACCCATCCCTCCACTTTGCAGCCTCCAACAGAGGAGTTGAAAACCTCAGGTGAAAGAGTTAAAACCTTCGTTTGTTAAGCTCCTACTATGAGTTTTATTGGCAGAGAGTGTCCCCTGAT